GACTACTCAAGATTTTCGGTTTTGTGTTTAGTTACTAGACTTTCCTACTATGCTGTTCAACTCTCCAACAGCTAGTTTGTGCACAGTCTTTTTGTTACGAATCACTTTCTGCAACGGGATTACGTCGACTTTGAGAGAATTATGTGGGGAGCGGGCACAAAAATGTGTTAAAAGGATTTCATCAGAGTCAAAATGAGAGGTAACAGATTGGATGAAAGCCTACAATACCAAGAGGTATCGCTAATCTTCTACACAGTAATAGGGATATCTTGACTTAATCGACGTGGTGGTCTTATATATCTCGAACAAGCGGAACCCTATGTGATTGTGAATCGATGTTCATGGTAATGCCGTACTAACAAGGACGCCAACTCCTGCAACTCCTTTGTTATTGCATGGTACGAGGAGCAGTTCTTCTTGAGTACCATGCCTTGATTTCTTATAACATGCCTTTTCGTCTTGAACAGCTCGAGAACGCCTTCCTGGATAAGAAGGTGGTGTTCATTTTTCCTCTTTTTAGCATAAGATACCCACCTATCCCTTGCTCTCTATCCGAATACAATATATTTGTTCAAGATGAGCACTTCTCAGTCATTTGGTCGTAAAGTTTAATGGTCGTCCAGAATACACCACGCAAGCAGACGAGAACGCCCATGCATGCTTGCAGGGAAATATTTACATTTGTACGGTATAAGTTAAGCAGAGATAGGGAATCGCTAAACATTGGTGTGATTATTATCGTTAGTTTTATTCATAATATGGTGACTAATGTTAGCAGTACAAAAGACAAGCAATAGGTATAAATGATAAAACGTGGTAAATATATGTCTTTATAAATGTAAGTCTATTTTCTTACATGACCCATTACCACATCTACTTTGTGGATCCCAGGACTTCTTGCATTCGATTTATTCTCTTCACATTCGTCGTCCGCAAAGCTCTTTGAACATTCCGCGTGTTGTTTCAGCTATGTCTGAAGAGTTCGCCTTGTTTGTGAATGTCGTAGAATGCTAGTCGAGTTAGTTCTCCTTGAAATCTTGGAGATAGTCGACCTAAAGCGTGCCAACGTTGATTAGGAGGATAATGTTGGCATACCAGTTGAACCAGCTCATTGCTTTCTGTTTGACTGCATCACTAATCACTGGCTAGCCCTCCCAATAAATCTGCCTATCTGTCATAAACCTCGAAATACTGCTGAAGCGCTAACATATCTAGGATTCCTAGTGCAATATTTAGAGAGTCCTTTCAAAAAACAGTGCAAGAAAATAGCCTTTGAAAATGTTACGCTCAACGAAGTTCATCGTCTTGTAAATCGAGATTTTAAGGCTTACCTGCCTGGTAAATCTCTTTGTAAAGGATTTTATCTTCGGACTAACAAAACGGCCATGTGGGAGTTGTAGTGGTCTTAAATAAACGTGTAAGTTCAACTTTTCAACAAGTCGTTCGTTAGCATTGAACGTAACATACATTCATAGGAGATTAGGAGGTGTCTAACATCCGAGATAATCTTAACTCTTTTATTTACTGCCTTTTTCTTTTTAATGGCAGGTTATGTTGCGAAATATAACTCGTATGAAATGCTGAGATATTTGCAAAACTCCGGACCACAGGTGTACGCAGTGGGGAACGAACACGCGCTGTTGTCCTTACCGAGGAGCAGCGCACTTCACCATTACACCATCCGGGACCCACTGCATACACCTGTGGTCCGGAGTTTTGCAAATATCTCAACATTTCATCCGAGATAAGCCCAAGATAAGTACAATTAAGCGGCATAACCAGTACTCAGTTCTTGAAGAGAGCACTGGTTTGCTGGAAACAACATGCATTGTGCTTGCGATTCACTTCGGTTGAGACATGATGGATGTTTGCTTTGAAGTAGAACAAATGCTAATGAATAGTTTCCTGACAATCTCGAAGATAATGGAAATACATTGATTTTTTTGCGTGGAAAATTCTCTCTTCTAAGAGTATGATTAGTCTAAAGTTGACAAAATTTCTTCGTATTAAAAAATAAATGGTCTCTTTGTCATCATGACGAACAGAACCTTTTTAACCACGATAACACTGAGGTATTTGCAAAACTCCGGACCGCAGGTGTCTGCGGTGGGGAACGAACGCGCTATTACCCTTTCCAGAGGCTAACGCGTTCACCACCGCACCATATGGGTGCTTCGTTTCGCCTATCTCTTAACTATTTCTAACGATCAGTGCCATCAGCAATCACCCGTCAACGGGATTCATCTGGGGAGTGCAAATCGGCAATGAACCCAATTCAGTTGAGGCTGTAGTCGAAATCATAATGTTAATTTTTTATTTACTACCTATTACAATTTCTTTTACAATTTACATTTTAAAAAGATCCTTTTTATTTAAATAGGTGTAGGGGTGACTTGAATGTTCAATAGAGCTACTTCTTGTATTCTCCTAATACCTGTGTCGACGACAATGAGACTTGTCAATTTGGTTATATCGGATTTTCTACTGGTTTGTGGTCGTTGAGATTTTCGTGTTGAGACCGATTGAAGTGGAGGATAACTGTGAGGTCATGGATTTTGATAACATTTCCGAAAATGGAAAAACGTTCGACATTTCTAGAGTGAGCCTCCCGTTGATGACACGATTTTGTTGATACAGACGGCAACGCACCAAAATAGGAACACCAGTGTTTGGAGATAAGATAATATGGAAAGCTAACATTGTGTGTTAATTTCAAGGGTAAGTAGGGGCTCGTGGAATCATTTGCTACACTACAGTTCTTTTAGAGTGTCAAGTATCAAGCAAGAGTTCTTTTACGTTATAGGATTTCAGAAGGTAAAACTCTTCGTTCATAATGTTTAACGTTTTGTTTTCTGCCTTCTATAATTTTCATGGCAGGTTACTAAGCGAAATACAACCACAACGTTATTGAGATATTTGCAAAACTCTGGACCGCAGGTGTCTATGGTGGGAAACGAACGCGCTATTGTCCTTCCCGGGGAGTAACGCGTTCCCCCATAGACATCTGCGGTCCTGAGCCTTGCAAATTTCTTCGTTCATAGTTGGAGGAAATCACAAAACATCCTGAACGGGCAGTGTCCAACCTCTCATTGAATTCCCGATAAGGGTTTGTTTCACCGTTTTTCGTTCTACTAGGAGACTGAGTTTTGCCCACCAGAAATTCCTGTGCAGTAACCATTGATGGTTGCTATTAAACTATCAACAGTTTTGCCAAAAAAGTGAAATTAGTTGAGAACAGCGCCATATCAACATTGTCGAGTTGTCGATTGGAAGTGAGATCGAATCAGACGGATTTCAACGGACATAGTTGACGCAAACATGGCGACATACATATTTATATGCGACGAGTGCATTTGAATGGTGTAGTTCTGGAGTTCAGATCGTATTAACGTACATTCGATCATCAGCTACAATAACTTTTCAAACGGCAACGTATGCCGTATTCACTGTGCATTTGAACCCGGCCACCACCAGCTTCCACTATCACCACGATTCTGGCTAGATTCCTCATCGGTTTTTGCTAGGGCTTCGCGATTTATCATAAGTGGTAATAAAAGGTAAATGATGAAAGTTAGATCTCATCGCCAATTGTTTTGGTGACTAAATGAGAAAACAACATTGATTTTTGCTAGTAAAATGGTAGTCTTATTCATAACATGAACTTTTGTAGGAACATTTAAAAATAAATATTCACCGAAATAGCAGAAATTATTTTGTCGCGTGTTTCAAATTGTCCAATCTATCCAGTCAAAAGTAGGAGATACCTACATTAAACCACCATCGTAAAACATCGGTGGGTTCTCGTTAGAAGAGAAGGTACTGAACTACTGACATAACGGGGAGGACTTTGAAGTATGTGTCACGATCCTCGCACGCGAATCAAGAACACAGGCGCGAAAAACTCTCGAGGCATTCTGGATTAATTCCAGAAATCCGAAAATGAACCGCAGGGAAGAATGCCTCATTATCACGCGTGATATAGGACTGCTATTCTGATGGTAGGGGCACATTATGCTTCCATGTGATTTCTTCGCGGTTGGTCTCTACGTGACATACTTAGTGGAAACCTCATAGGAAGCGGTGAGTGTGTAAAGCTGTGTTCAAAGTGATTGAAATCTTAGTTTAGAGTTTCTTTGTTTGGTTATGGAGGCATCTGGCCGAGTAGATTGCTGTCAACTTGACCTTTCCAGGCTCTGAGGAAGGCGAAATCCGCCGAAACGTCAGCTTAATCGTGAACAAAGAATAATAACACCTCGCGTTTGCACAACAAAAATACGAAGAATTACTCGATGGGTGTTCAATTATGTAGCTAATTCTTGTTCCCACCTCTCAATTGATCAACTAATAGTGCAGTTCATAGGTTACATCACTCAATCTGCTAGAAAGGTAATATAAGGCGAAGCAAAAAACCGTTATAAGTTTTTGGAAATAGATAGAGAACTAGACGAGAGGCAGACAAAACGAAGGACCTGCATGGTCTGGTGGTGAACTCGTTGGCCCACGGAAAGGGTAATAGCGCATTCGTTCTCCACCGCAGACACCTACTGTCCGGAGTTTTGCAAATTATCTCAGCATCATTGTGGTTGAGTCACACATAATACTCTGCCGTGAAAAATTGTAATAGGCAGTGAATAGAGAAGTTAATATTTCGAAACCGACTTTCCCTGAACCTCGGTGTGACTAATCAATATGCATTCAACATGCATTGTGACTAATCAATATGAGAAGTTAATGTTATAAATTTTCTTTAGCGGTTTCATAATATGACTTTTAGTCGGCTCATCCTTGCCATTCTTGCACACGCTGAGTTGATCTCACTATAGGTCTTGGCAAGTCACTGCTTATGGCGGTGATATACGATCTGTGGGGTTTACCTCCACACACGTTCACTAAATATTTGGTTATTTCTACGCCGTTCTATCGTATCTGTTTTTCACCGGTTGTTGTGGCATTAGCAACGTTTAACATCTAGCTTATTATTTTAACAGTCATTTTTAGCGCATCTTCTTATTATGGCAGGAGCGGTATTACTCGACTTGCAAGGCCTGCGTGGGGTAGCTGTCATTTCAATTCTTGCATTCCATTTCTTCCCTGAACGTTTTCCAAACGGTTATGTGGGAGTCGATCAGTGAGTTAGCAGTTAAAAGGCAGAATTCACCGAGGAAATTGAAGGAAACTCTTAGTTTTTCTTTATTTTTAGAGTACCGGTGGTGCTACCTTATTTTTAGGTTCTTTGTTCTGTCTGGATTTCTGATTGCGATGATTCTCGATAGAGATGACAGCCTTACCAAAAACGTTGCCTGTGAATTCTATTATCGTCGGATAAAACGCATTGTTCCGTTGTATTTGCTGGTGATCCTGCTCACTCTAGTGCTGTCGTTTATAATCTTCCCACTTTCAAGCCTGAAAGTCAATCTGAAATCGGCTAAAGTTGCACTTGTTTTTCTTTCAAATATCTGGCCCTCTTCAACTGCTTCCAACAGCTATTATAGTATGGTAAGTCCATTCTGTAACCTTTCCGCTGCACAAAACTAATAAAATCTTCAAGAACTGTATATGCCGAACTTAAACGTGAATAATGTGGGACGTATAGCACAGTGGTAGTGATACTCGTCATCACGACTATGGTGTTCGATTCCGCTCCGGGGTCGGGAAATTGGTACCGGACTTATCTGGGAAGAAAACCACTCTCTGCAATCCAATTGGGAGCGCTCCAGCGCGGCTATCTCAGCACCCCAGGGAGAATTGTTCACCCAGCATTCTACGACATTCAAAATGAAATGAAAATCCTCAAGCGGCAACCGAAGCCACATGTAAAGTTGGGGGTCTTCGTGGACAATGGATGCGTGGAAACGAATCCAATGTGAGAAGTTCTGGAATCCGCACAGTAAACGTTAAGACGGGTTAAATAAAATAAAATTAAAAAAAATACGGCATTAACAATCTAATGTATCGCAAATCAAGGCGTAATGTCAGCAAGAGCTGTTATGTTTGCCGTTTCAGTTATCTCTCGCCGAAGATTTGTTCACCCATACCTGGTCGTTGGCAGTGGAAATGCAATTCTATGTACAACCACAATGTTGCTGAGATATTTGCAAAACTCTGGACCGCAGGTGTCTATGGTGGGGAACGAACGCGCTATTATCC